CTCAGAGCTGCAATAACCAGTAGAGAAGCCGATGTATTCATCCCTCTGTATACGGCACTCGTTAGACCCCACCTAGAATACTGCGTCCAAGCTTGGACTCCCTACCGAGTAATGGACGTGGACAGGTTAGAAAAAGTGCAGCTAGAATGGTTCGCAAAACCAAAGGGCTATCCTTGAAAGACCGGCTCCGGCACCTGAACCTCTTCTCTATGCGTAGGAGACTTTTAAGAGGAGATCTGATCGAAGTCTTTAGATAAATGAAGAATGCTGACCTAGGCCTCCTACCTCCGAGATCCACGAGAGACCTAAGAGGCCATGAATGTCACTTAGAAAAGACTAGAAGTAGGTTGGATGTGAGGAAACATCTTTTTACCGACAGGGTGGTCAACTTCTGGAATCGCCTCCACGGAGGACTCGTTCGGCTGACCACAGTGCAAGCCTTTAAAATGGAATAAGATGGACTATGGGCCGAAACATTTCTGGAAATGACCTAAAACAGAAGGGAAATAAGCTCCCTCTTTTATGCTCCCCACCCCCACGTTTGTCACAACGTGGTGCGCATGCTCAGCATGCACACGCAGGAGCGCTTGCGATTAAGTGTACGTAAGTCTCTCACCGACACGGCGGGAAGACAGCATGTTCCCTTTCTTTTTCAACCTTGCCAACAACAGACGCGACTCCTACTACATCCGAATCTCGCATCTTCGGACGGTCGCGGAATTATCAACTGTGCTACAAGCCGGACAAACATATAGCTCGATCGGTCTACCGGCGAGATCGAGCCAGAATCAAGACAACCATAAAGCCGAAGTCTCTACGTCCTGGAAGATTGGATTAGATTGGCTCAAGTTTGAATTTTGCATCACGGGCTTCTGTCCACCAGGATTACAGGCTTATCGCTGCGATCGTCCAGGGGATAGGTGGCGGGTAATGCTCTACTGCTCATGGCAGATCTCTTTTCTCAGACGGCCGTGGATACCCTGTGCACGGAGAACATTCAGGCTGCCGGGTGTGTAATCAAGCTCTCAGGAGTAAGATTAGCAGTTCTGAGTGTTTATCGTAGCCCAAGCGCAGGCATCGACGAAAATGGGTTGCTGATAGATTTTCTCCGGCACACAACAACTCGGGCAAGTAGGGTTCTTGTCTTGGGGGATTTCAATGCGCCTGAGATCGAATGGGGGATGGAGTATGCGCCAGTGGGCAGCTTTGGGGATGAGCTACTAGAGGTGATGCATGAATTGGCGCTCACCCAGCACGTCACCGATCCTACCCAATGGCGACTGGGTAACTCTCCCAGCACCTTAGATCTTGTGTTCACCAAAAGCAGGAATGACATCAGGATCACTGCCATAGGTGCACCGCTAGGCAGAAGTGACCACGCTAGTATCCGGTGCCAATACGGCTGTGCTCTCCCGCTTTCTCAAGTCAAATGGAGGCGACGCTATGGCCGCATGAAGCCCGAATGTCTCCAGGCTGCGGCTCGCACCATGGTCTGGACAGAAGCACACTATGGGACTGTGGAATCGTGGGTTTTGATCAGGGATAACCTGCTGACTCTCACCAATAGTTTCGCACCCCTGCATCCCGTTAGGTCACGGACCACCCCGCCCTGGTGGTCCAGTCGAATGAAAAAAGCCCTTGTTAGAAAGCGGGCCGCGTGGCAACGACTCTGTGCCACAGGCGGCTATCTTAGACACATTCAGTACCTACGAGAACGAAAGTCCTTCGACCGCATCCTCCTGGATGCCAAAAGAAGCTTTCGAGCTTTCCCTGGCCAAGAAAGCAAAGCGCCACCCTAAGGCCTTCCACGGGTACGTCCAGTCTAAGTCGACTACAAGGGAAGCAGTCGGCTGTATCAGGCAAAAGGACAACATCCCCGCTACGACAAACTCCCAAAGAGCCATCGCCTTGTGTGAGCACTTCCAGAATGTACACATGAAGGATGAGGGCATCCTGCAATCCATGCACCAGCCGGCAGGATCCACGCTGATGGAGGAAATCATTTTCCTACCGGAGGAGGTGGAAAAGACCCTGGTGAGTTTAGATAGGGGAAAAGCGGCGGGACCGGACAAAATCCACCCGG